GGGTGATAAGACATTGGGGAGGGTATGTGCTATGGTGAGCACTGTGAATTGTACAAGACTGATGAATCACGGATCTGTACTTCTGAAACAAATAATGCAATATATGTTAAGAAAAAAAAGAAGAAGAAGAAGATAGCAGGAGGGGAAGAATGAAGGGGAGTAAGTCGGAGGGGGAGATGAACAATTAGAGACGATGGACTCTGAAAAACAAACTGAGGGTTCTAGAGGGGAGGGGGGTGGGGGCATGGGTTAGCCTGGTGATGGGTATTAAAGAGGGCACATTCTGTGTGGAGCACTGGGTGTTATGCACAAACAATGAATCATGGAACACTACATCAAAAACTAATGATGTAATGTATGGTGGTTAACATAACAATAAAAAATTATTTAAAAAAAACTGTCAGGGACTATATTAAAATACTTATATTGATGTCAAATTTACATGCACAAAAATAGTAGCATTTAATATGATGAAGAGAAAAACATGAAGGACTTCTGATATTGCCAAGACTTTTTTCAAGGATGACTGGTGAGCTGGGAAAGCATAGTATAAGCAGATTGCAGTTGGTACGTGGCTAAGTGATGCTATCAGAATTATGGCCTGAAATACCTATTTGAGGAAAAGATAGATACCAAATATACTCTCCCTTGCATTAAGCATTTTAGAGAGTATGAAAATGTGAGAAGAGAAAATGTTCTTAGGAAACATTTTTAGGAACAGCTTTGGAGAGTGGGTTTTAGTCTGGAGAAAGTCAATTTGAAAGAAGTTTGAATGAGATCCCTTTAGCAATATTTCCAGTATGGAGAGTTTTCCCCCTAAAGAATGCAGTCACGACACTGGAAGGAGAGTTTGGCCAGACAGGACTTATTTTAGACAAAGCAAAACAATTGAGATTGAAACTTTCACAAGGAATATGTGTCTCAACTTAATTCTTGCCAAGTGAAGTGATAGTCTTTATGTCAATACCTGTAACCCAGTATTTCATCTGAGTTGAGACAGTAAGGGCCTCCTTAGCAAGGAAATGACTCAATTTAAGATTTGTAATTGTATATTCATGTAGTTTACTTTTTCTCATGATTATCCTTTCTAATATATTCAGATATGACCACTATTAACCAGAACCCTGGGACGTTTCAAACAGCTTGGGCAAGAACATCTCTTCAATGTAGATTATTATCATTGCAAAGTGGTGCTTAGCTTTCAGGGAAAATGCCACCACCACCAACCCCCACATATATTTATAAAATTAAGTTTGAGCACATATCTTTCACATTCCTCAATTCCACAGCACTCACTAGCATGAATTAAAATGTCAAATGTAGCAATAATTTTACACTAAAATTATGTGAAAGAAAGCAAAATGTTAAAATCATTAAATGCCATACTTTCAAGTTAGCATTTAAATTCATAACATTTGGCATAGCGGGAATTGCAAATATTAAAATCCTACCTAATTAATTTGAAAAGTACTCTCATGCTAATTTCTCAAATGATTTTAGAAATTTACTTTTATAAAGAATACCTGGTAAGAAATATACTACTATAACCTTTCCACTTTACAAAGATAAGTGAAATTTAGGTTGCAGGAAGAAAAGAAAGGTCAAAATGGGTCTTTTTCCCCAAAAATTCTTCTAAGTTTTTTTTCAAGGTCTCAACATTACTTGAGAAAAATTGATGGATACAAGTTAAAACAGAAAATGATCTGAGATCAGAAAAACTCATGCGTAAGGCAATATGAATAATAGTTCTTTTTTTCTTTTAAAGATTTTATTTATTTATTTGAGAGAGAGAGAATTAGAGATAGAGAGCATGAGAGGGAAGAGGGTCAGAGGGAGAAGCAGACTCCCCGCTGAGCAGGGAGCCCGATGAGGGACTCGATCCTGGGACTCCAGGATCATGACCTGAGCCAAAGGCAGTCGCCCAACCAACTGAGCCACCCAGGCGCCCTGAATAATAGTTCTTATTAGATGCTAGTAATACTTATAATTGGAGTGTCAGGCTACCCATAATTAGTCAATGTCTTCTCTCAAATGAAATAATTTCAAAGCTATTTATTTGTGTTGTAATTAAAAAAAAATTTAGACCTCAAAAAAAATACTCCTCGTGGCCCTTATGAGACTTCTTTTTCCTGAGATAGCAGATAAATTTTATTAATTTATAAAGCTGAACTGTTAGGTGCAACACCCTGATTCTGTCAGTTATATGCAACAGCCAAAACACTGATTTCTCCTGGTTTAGAAGTCCAGAACTTGTCCTTCCTGATCTCTCAGGTTATTCATAGCAATCTTTTCTTCCAAGTGTTCAGTCCTAACCTCCTCCTAATAACTTACTCCTTTCTGAAGTAAGATATTTAACACTGAATAGTCCAACCATGGTCCACTATAAAGTTATCATCAATATTGGTTAATTATTCAAAATTTAATAAATGTTCAATTCCACCATTGGATTCGTATTGCCAGCCACAATCTAGTAGTATATTATATTGTGCTTCTTTTCATGAACTTTGTATTCACATCTCTTCCTCTAACAGCCTCAGAAACTAGAGTTTTGGGGGTTTTTTTGTTTCTTAATCAAATAAAACAGTTATTTTGGAGATATGAAGATATTCTTGAAAAGTTATTCCTACAAATTTGATGTTTATCTCTGCTATTTTGAATATTGACAAAATGAATAACATTCTAATTAATCATTTCAAATGCAAATTGAACCAAATAAATTTAGTAAAACTAGTTAAGATATATAAATAAAGTTTAAGGAAAGGAAAAATATGCTGCAGGAAAGGGTGGTTAAAATCCAAAAATCTATGCTGTATTTTCTAGATAATCTGTGCACTTATGTTCCCATCTTTTACAATTCTACCCTCTTCCTTGTGGTTCATTCACATCACGTGGATTTTTCATTCTTACTAGTTTATACTTCTTGTCGTCTACCAACATTCTTGTCATTCTTGTTTATCAAGTACTTTACTGCCTTTTTTGTTGTTTCTACATTATTTCATCCATAATTCTTGATAACATTTACATGAACCTGTATGACTGGATAATATTTTCTCCCGTTCTACCTGAGCACCCCCTTTCCATGAGCCATACCCTGGACCATATTATAATCCCAGATTGCCCCTCTTCAAAAGTGTTGAATGCAAATAATGCCCATTGTACATTAACATCCCCTGAGACATTTAGCTTCCCTGCTCAAGTATTCATAATTAAAATCACTTAGCATTTTGTGGCTAACAATCCTTCGAAGATCTGACCTTTTTCTCATCATTTTAAGCTACTTTATTCTTTACACTTCCTTCTTGTGTACATTAGATTACATGGTCTCTCATGATCATTATTTCATTTAGTTTTTTTCCTTCTGTTTTTCCATCATACTCACTCTGTCAAAATGTCCTTGATCTCATGATCAGAATGGTTAAAATACCATCTGAATATTGCCTGGCAAATATACTAGGTTCCTTTAGTAAATTTACTCTCCTACTCTTTAAACTGCTGCATCTTACCTTTTCCTTACTCAAACTTCTTTCCTTCTCACCAAAGCTAATAGCTGATTTAATATTCAAATGATATAAAGCACAAGAAAATTGAATCCTTATGTTTCTACCACCAAATCTTCAAGTTGTACTGAAAACTGTTCTTTTTCTAACCTAGGATGTCTCCCTTTTATTGTCAAATGGAAATACCTTTAAGTGTACCCTGGATTCCATTTTCATTAACTTTCAAAACACATTCCCCCTCCGGACATGCTCTTTTTTTAAACATCAGTATCTCTCTATCTACCAACATGAACATTAAAAAGAAAAAATGCTGTTTCCCAAATAATGTTCTAAGTTCCCCAAATACAGCAACTGCAGTAGCCTTCCCTGTACCTATATAAATGTCCATCTACTCCACTGTTTTAACCAGTCCCCACACAACACAAGTTGTCAGTGTCAACACATTCTCTCTGCACATTCCTAGGACATATATACTCACTATCCTGATTTATCCTGGCCTCACATTCATTCCAGTAGAACTATGATTTTCAAGCTCAACATTTTCTTTTTTTTTTTAAAGATTTTATTTATTTGAGAGAGAGAGAATGAGAGAGATAGCACGAGAGGGAAGAGGGTCAGAGGGAGAAGCAGGCTCCCTGCTGAGCAGGGAGCCCGATGTGGGACTTGATCCCGGGACTCCAGGATCATGACCTGAGCCGAAGGCAGTCGCTTAACCAACTGAGCCACCCAGGAGCCCCAAGCTCAACATTTTCTAAAGCAGTATTGTTCCTTTTACCTTTATTTCTTATTTTAAATTGTACCCCAAATGATCCATCTTATTCCACACTACATGGCCTATAATTAGCCCTGGACTGGGCTGGTTCACTCTTCTGTTTCATATACTTTCCCCTTTTTCCTCTTCAGCCATGCCAACCTACATATACTCAGTTTATTACCCTTAAATGTTATTATATGGATGTGCAAGTTGCTTTGTAAACATGTTTTAACTGAATAATAGTAGCATGCTATAGATTTCATTCTATTAATTTTTGTATTCTACATTTTTAAAGTTCTAAACGTGTTGCTATATGTACATTTCTCATTTGCTGTGACTAACTGCACTGCCGCCCACACTGTTATCTTCACACTTCACTTCCCCAGTCCTGTAGGATGGTCACAAAGGTCGCCTCCATTTCCATGCTCACGTGGAAGTCCAGGTGCCGGGAATGGCTGGCAGTCCCTGTATGGACGGATGGAAGATTACTCCAAACTTGGCTGTGAAAGAAAGGAGAAGGCAAGGGGGTCAACGCTTAGAGAGGAAGACCCTTTGCTCTTCTTTGCTTCCACTTTTATTGGTCCTTCAGGATAATCACCGTTATCGCCGTTTCTTCAGCACGTGATTTGAGACAAGGGGTCTTACTGGAACTAGGAAGGTCTGTTTACGGGAAAGATACGATATGCTAATCTGCATGTTCTACGAGTTCTGCTACACATAGCCTAAGGGACAATGCACACATTTCTTAGATCACAGGGCGGCTGTTTGGTCTAAGAAAGTTTCAGGGAAGGCAACTCCCCGCGGCATTCCAAGCGCAGAGTGGTCACGCGGACGTCGGCATTCCAAAGGCCTACACGCTTGTCCGAAACCTTCCATCGCTCTCAGAGGCCCCCGTGTTACATTTTAGCAAGCCAGGTATTCTGGATGATTTCATGCTCTGCATTAACCGCAACATACAGAGAACATCATCATAAATGCTCTGAAATGGAGCATCATGAAAGTTTTCTGAGTGTATACCGAAGAGTATATACTAGTAGGACATAATTAGTTCTGTGAACTGCCAAATTGCTTGCCAGAATTGCCACATTGGTTATACCTCCCCCAAAAGTACAGAGTTCATGATAGTTCTCACCTCTTGCTATACTAATGGATATTAAAGGTCACTTATGTGACCTTCTAAGTTTTTGCTTACAGTTGGGAAGTCACTTTTTTCTCTCTTCCTCCCTCTCCCCCTCTCTGTCTGCTCCCGTCTCTCAATCACTCTCTGTCTCTTTCTCTCACCTCCTTCCACCCTCTCTCATTTCTAGTTTCTGTGCAAGTTGAACAACTCTTCACCATCTAGTCATTCATATTTCCCCTTCTGTGACCTTTTCTATGCCTAATTTTTGTGTTTTCCTTTATTTTCTTGTTGAATTGCAGGAGGTCTTTGCATTTTTAGTTAATAAAACTTTGCCAGTTTTATAGAATAGAATGTCCTTGATTAGTCTCTTATTTATTTATTACATGTGTGTATCATTTTCAGTCTCTAATACTAATATAATCAAATATATCATTTTTGCTACAGTGACTTTCTAACTTTAACACTTAATATGTGTTAGCCACTTACATAAGTATTTTATATATATTAGTAACTTTTACCCTCATGATAACCCTAATGAGTTAAAGGCTATTATAATCATTATTTTAAACTTGAGAAGACCAAGGCTCAAAGAGTTTAAGCAATGTACCCAAAGACAACTAATAAGTTACAGTGTGGATTCAAACCTGGCTGGAATTGCTACAGATTTATCACTCAAAGACTCTATACTGCCTCTAGGAATTAAAAAACAACTTATAAAACAGAGTATCTTTAGACAGAAAGTTGTGAAATGATTCCAATTCCAATTCACACAAAGAACTTGAACAACAACAAAAAAGAACTTGAACTAGTAGAGATATTTTTTTACATAGGACATGATAATTCTACAAAAGTATCAATTCTCCAGTAAACCTATGAATGTAATTAATTCCAATCAAGATTTCTGCAACATTTTTCAAAGAAATCAAATGTACTTTAAAATTTATAAGGGGGCGTGGGGCACCTGGGTAGCTCAGTCAGTTAAGCATCTGCCTTCAGCTCAGGTCATGATCTCAGGGTACTGGATCGAGCCCCGTATAGGGTTCCCTGCTCTGCAAGGAATCTGCTTCTCCCTGTCCCTCTGCCCTCTCCTCTCTTGTGCTCTCTTTTTCTCTCAAATAAATAAATAAAATCTTTTAAAGCATGTATAGGAAAATAAAATTTATTGTTATTATTTTTTTTAATTTATTTATTCGAGAGAGAGAGAGTGTGTGCAACAGCAGGGGGAGGGGCAGAAGGAGAGGGAGAGAATCTAAAGCAAACTCCCCACTGAGTGTGGATCCCCATGTGGGGGCTCGCTTGATCTCACAACCCTGAGATCATGACCTAAGCTGCAACCAAGAGTTGGATACTCAATCAACTGAGCCACCCAGATGCCCCAAAAGTTTGTTACTTAGAAAGTCTTTTTCATCCTCAAATTATACTATATTCTCTACAAATTTACTCTTTTAGGGTTAAATATTGACCTTCCACATTTAAGTTTGGAACCCATTGAAAATCACCTCTGTACATGTTTTAGAGTAGGACATGGTTTAGTTTTCTCCATACCATGAGACAACTTTTTAATCACTATCTGCTAAACAATACATTTTCCATTAATTATTTGCAGTGCCACTTCTCACCATTTATAACTCATCATTTATAAGTGGGCATATTTATGTACTGTGATCTATTCTTCATTACTACTATAGAATTTTACTAAATATAGGTAGAAAAATGCTTTTTTATAAATGCTATTTTATTCATGAGTTTTAAATTCCACATGCATTTTAGAATTTTTGCTGTATAAGCTATAAGTTATAGCTTATTTATTGATGATTTTATATTTAATCTTTTCAATTCAAATGGTTTGTTTTACATTTTTTTTAGATTTTATTTATTTATTTATTTATTTTTAAAGATTTTACTTATTTATTTGACAGAGAGAGACACAGCGAGAGAGGGAACACAAGCAGAGGGAGTGTGAGAGGGAGAAGCAGGCTTCCCGCTGAGCAGGGAGCCCGATGCAGGGCTCGATCCCAGGACCCTGGGATCATGACCTGAGCCGAGGCAGACGCCCAACGACTGAGCCACCTAGGTGCCCCAGATTTTGTTTGTTTGAGAGAGAGACAGAGATAGTGAGAGAGAGCACAAGTGGGGAGGAGAGGGAGAAGCAGGCTTCCCACAGAGCAAGGAGCCCGATGTGGGACTCGATTCCAGGACCCTGGGATCATGACCTGAGCCGAAGGCAGACGCTTAACTGACTGAGCCACCCAGGCGCCCCTCAAATGGTTTGTTTTAATTTGTTAGGTTTTCTAAGTAGTTGATTATCATATCTCCAAGTAATGATATTATGATTTTTCCTTTTTAAAACTAAATCCATATTTCTTCTTCATATTTTATTACATTGTCAGGAGTTAAGATAAATGATTGTAATATTCTATACCAAGCATAATATTTATGTCAACAATTGGGAAGAGTATACAACTGTTACCCTACTTTCAAGCTAACCAGGTAATTTGCCACAGTTCCGTAGATGCTGACAGAAGACCCAATGCTTCTTGATCAGAGGCACTCACAGCAATATCAGTAACAAGAAAATGAATACATTTGCACTGGTTTTCTGAGTCTAGTTTTCACAGAGCAATAGAGAAAGGCTGATGACAACTATAAACTGGATTGCTTTATAATAGAGGAACACTGAGCTTGGGGAACCCACCATTTTAAAGGAACTAAGTAAGAAAGGGAGACCTTATCCCAACCCTCAAGATTGCTTGCTGCAATCAAAACCTCCAAAAATGGTCCACATAAAGACCATTTAAAGAAGCCTTGAATTCCTTGCATATACAGCAAGATGCATAGGAACACAATAGTCTAGTAAAGTATCTCCAAAGAGTTTACTCTAATTTTTTGGTTTATATTCTTTATAAAGTTACCTTGAATCCTTTATTACCAATTGATGTTTAACATTATAAAATGCTTTTTTTTTTTTACAGCTGTTAAAATTATTTGAGTTTTCTTCTTTGGTATATTAATATGAGGAATAAATCCATAATAATTTTGTGATGTTGAATTCTTAAACTCTTATATAAACTAACTTAATCATTATATAGATATTTTAATACACTGTTAAATTTGGGTATATGCTATTCTTAGGCTTTTTGAATCTCTACTCATACATAAAATGAACCTATAACCATCATGGTTTGTATTATTTTTGACTGATTTGGGAATCATGGCTAGCTTAACCTCCTAAAATGATTGACAGCTTTCTTGTTTTTCTATCTTTACAAACAACTTATGTAAAATAGAGATTTTCAGTTTAATGAAAATGTAGTAAAATTTACCTAGAGTTTATTTGAGATTGTAATCTTTGATCAGATCTTTATTTTCATGAATAGGTATAGATCTATTCAGGTTTGCTCTTCCCTCTTGCACCAGCTGTGGCATTTTATATTCTTCCAGGATTTATTTTATTCCATCTAATTTTTCAAATTTATTTTCTCACAGTTTTTCCATATATTTATTTATCACTTTTAATCATTTTTTATGTATAGTCAAAATTCTGCTTAGAATTTTGTATTTTATTGGTGCCTTCTCTCCTTTCTCTTTTCTTTTTAGTCATACCAGTTTTTTTAAGCCCTCATTTTATTCACTTACAAAGCAGCATTTTACAGAGTTGAAAGCTTTCCACTCTTTGAAACTGTCTTTCCTCCTGGCTTCTACATAACCTTAATATGCTGGTCATTTTCTAGATTCTCCACACAACCTCTATGTATTGGTTCTCCCTAGAGTTTGTTTCTTGATTTCCTATTTTTTCTCTTGAGACTTTTCCTTTAAATGATCTGATTCAGTCCCATGGCTTTACATATAACATAGAAAAAGAAGGCTATTGAATTTACATTTTTATACCAAAGTTCTCTAAACACCAGGCATTTTATTGAACTATTTGCCATATTCAATAAATAAAACTCTTCACTAAATTCCCAATTGCAGGTCTTCCATGATACCACCATTCACTCAGTTGCTGATCTAAAACTTTGGGCTGAATTATTATTTTTTCTTTCTTAATCTTTGAATTCCAGTACATCAGCATGTTTTGCCATTTTTTTTCTACGTGTATATTAGAGAAGTTTCTTATCTCTGTCTTAATTTTTTCACCTAAGCCCATTTTTCACCTAAGCCCCAAGCCTAGACTACTGAGATCTTCAACTACCCCTCCCTTTGCACCCACCAATCTTATAAAAGCATAGGAAATTTATCAAACTAAGAAAGGGTTCTGACTGAATTAATGAAAAGTGATCTAAGTGCACTAACCTTTTAAATTATTTCAGAATGACACTTGTATACATTATAATGAGAAAATTAGACAAGGAAAATATGTTGTCTGGGTTCAAGGTCTTCTTGACAGTATCACACACATATAGTATATTAGCACAGTGTATAATCAATGTGCTTACATTTATTTAAAAATGTATAAAATTCTCACTATCACTGTCTTAACTTTAAAGTTGTAATTAAATTTATATATTTTCTTAAATATATAAATTCTTAAATCCCTTTGTTAAAATTGCTAAGGTTTTTACTTTGTACATATCTCAACTTTTATTACATTGTATGTCAAAGTGCTTGCATTTATATTTATTCATATGTGTACATGTCTCCACTTCAATGCAGTATATATGTACAGTGAAAAATACCAATTGTGACTCATTTAATCCATATTTCCCATGGTACTTACCTTGCATGGAAACTTGCACACAGCACATATGAATTAATTTTTATTGAATTAAAATTAATTAATTAAAATATTGGAGGTAATGGAGTGAATGTAGATTTTATTCACTGTGATTTTGTTTGATAATTAAGGTGAAAGAA